TGAGGCTTATTCTTGGTGAAAAATTAAGGTCTAAATATGGAATGTGAAAAATGAACTTTCTGATTCACTTTTCATTCGCGTAAAATCAATAAATATGGCTCATCGATCTATTTCTTAATGATAAGTTGTCGTGAGATAACGATTTAGAGAAGACAAAAAAAATTACATCAGAAAAACTTACTTGCTTTTTAAAATAACTTCAAATAGTTTTTTTTTAAACAAGAAATTATCTAAAGTATTGTTTGTAATTTGGTAGTTTGCAAGAAAAATGACATTTTTTAAGCTCANCATATATATATATATATATATATATATATATAAATATCTTTATATATAAGAAAAGAGTGGAATGATAACACATAGCCAATCACGGAAGACTTCTGGTTAGTAATGCACAAAACAGCCAATCAAAATAGAGAACGCGTGTATGTGAAAAGGTAATAATTTTTAATAATGCTGTCAAAAAATACCAAATATAAACTGACCTCAAATAAAACTTAGAGGAATCAAATAATTAAGTAAACTCTACTATTACGTTTATAAAAAGGAATAGTTATTAACTCAATAACAAAATTATAACATCGCCATTCAAAAAAAAAAAAAAAAAAAAAAAAAAAAAAAAAAAAAAAAAAANATAGAAAAAAAAATCTCACACTTATTACGTAAAGTTATAAAAGATCGAACGATTATTTATGCAAACGATTATATATATGATTATTATGAACTAAACTTTATGCTTTTATGCAAACGATTGTTTATGACGTCATTAGATAAAAGTGTCATTAACGCAATATTATCCAGTGTTTATTATTAATTTTGAGTGGCAATGTAAAAGGATAGTTATTCTGAAGTATTATAATAGAATGTTTGTTTTGATAGAACGCAGTTATATATTTCAGAATTCCAATATATTTTAATAGCTTTGATAAATCGGGTAGAGTTATTGGAAGCATGAATCAACACTCTCTCAAAAAACTATTTACATTCCAAATTATCAAAATATGAGTTTACTTTAAAATACTTATATCTTTTATAAAAAGTGGATCAAAAGCGGCATAGAGCTGAACATGATTTAGCTGCACAAAATTAACTGGGAAATAATTGTAGTGCTATCAATACTCGACGGCGGAATGCGGGGCGAAGAAACGTTGAAAGGTCAAGACGTTTAAATGAAAACGAATACCTTGGTGCACTTACGAATACTTCTGATTGAAACTAAAATATTTTGTCAATTGACAGTATTGAAGTTAATTGAGCAGTTACTTGCAATGGTATTTGCTTTTGAAATATTACTTAGAATCAACTTATTAATATTACATGTTTTAATTTGCTTGTAATTTTTGTAAAGTTTTTTCGTTCAGTACCTATCCTATAAGACCAACAATGATTTGAGCTAGGCTCTACCACGCGTGCTTCGGATACGGAGATTGATCTCCGGCTAATGCCCTATAGTAATCTGTTAAATAATATTGCTTCCTCGCTTTATATAAGTTTATAATATTGTTTGCATTGAAATTGCTTTATATAAGTTTATAATGTTGATAATAAGCTCCTCTGACATTTTACAATCTATGTGATGTTGGTGCAGTGATGACTTTAAGTTTGTTCGCGAAGCGAACGAAAATGTAATTGCGTAGCAATTATCGGAGGTTGGCGAGCGGTAGTGAGCAGGGGACGGAGCCCTCTAGCAAATATANACTGATTTTCCCCCTCATTTTTTGGTACCTATTTTCCATTGAGTAGGCATAAGCATTTTTTCTTCTTTGTTTCTTCTGTCTCAGCTTCTCCTCCGTAAAGAAAGGCCTTCCCTAAATTTTTAGAACACACGACGATGAGTAATAAAAAATAATAGTTAACACATTTTCTATTACTGCGTATTGTTTTTTAATCAATTTTGCATTTCTTTTTATTGGTCATTTATTTAAATGTGTAATAAAAGGGAGTAGTTCGGAAAAATTGGTCAAAATTGTTTGCAGTACGTATATAGTGAACTACCAGTTATAGTGAATCGAAATTTCGGTCCCTTGATTTCACTATAGCGGCACTCCTTGGTTCCCTATAGCGGGGTTTCACAGTACTCGGGCAACACTGCCCTGTTAATATGCTGAGTCTTTCTGTAGTCAGTGGTTCAACCAAACACTGACTATTCTTCGCGACCCCATAATGGAAGACAAAATAAGAAGAAAATAAAATAAAAACTATCTTTTTTATTAAATCCTTTCGTATAAATCTTACATAAAATGCTAATTTTGAATGTCAGAAGACATGAAAATACAGTGTTAAGAAGGTTCTTTAGAATTATTACGTTTGGCAGTAGTAAATCCAATTCGATTTGATTTGAGCGTTTTTATACCAATGCTTTTAAATAAGTAAACGTTTAATAAGACAATGGTTTAAAATATCGAAACGCTGTTTATACAGTTTACATAGCAAATAATTTTATAAAGCGATTTATAATGCTGAATTTTTATTTTTCATTAATGTAATTTCATATTTACAGGGTGGAAAAACAATGAAATTCCAGAGGATTCCATTTGTCTTAGTCCAGTTACTCGGCTATGGATGAAACAAAAAATTTCACTCAAAACAAAAGAACTAAAATACGAAAAAGAAAATAATGATATCATTACTTCAACCTCACGGATGTAAATTATTTTTGATGTACGTATGATACTTATAAGCCATTCATCATATTTTTGTATGTGTTTACATGTTTCCTATCTGTTTTTTGAAATTAAAGATATTTTGAAAAATTGTAATACATACTTTTCTATTTGATATCCGAAACTATTACTCCTCTTCAGCAAATCCTCTGAAAACAAGGAATGTCCAGATATCTTCCATTGCGATCAGCGTGAATTTAATTGAGTTAATTAATTATTTTCAAATTCTTAATGAGTATTTAAGGTTTAATATAAAAATAGTATTTTTATTATTTTGTTAAGCAAAAAAAAGTCATTTTTAAAAATGCATTGTATTAAATTTCTTAAAAAAATGAATCACTCAAATAACAGCAATTCTATTGGTCAAGATGCCATGGGAATCAAGAATTTGTATTCAAAAAATCAAAATGTTGATTAATATGACGTAAAGGCCACTTTCATTTCCCCTGCGATTTGAAATTAAATTGAAGCCTGAAGCACAATTAGTCACCATCGGGGATAGAAACCATATTTTTCACAACGACAGCTAGGCAATCAGTGGTGGGTCAGGGGGATAGAGGGCTAGTCTTCACTGAGGTGAACAGCGTTCCAATCTCAGCGATATCTGACCGATACGGGTTCAACACCCGGCTCGTACGGACTACATTGTTGACGTAAAATATCCTCACTGGTAGACGGATCCTGGAAAGGAATTCCCTTGTGGGAGGTTTTTGTATCCATGAAACGCAAAACAGGTTAGTTCCATCAAAAAAGTCTTCCATGAAAGCAAATTTCACCCTTTCCTTCATCCAGGAGATCCCTTGTCTTCCGGATTGGGTTCAAAATAACAAGGCTACGGAAATGAACATTAGTAACCGTAAACTCAAAAATGTAGGTCAGCCTTTCAAAGAGTTTTAAAGTAAAATGAAAATGACAGCTTGGTGATCTGTGGAGGTTGAGAGACTAGAGCGTTCGCGTCTCAATAAAGTGACCCATGTTCAGATCCCACTGTTGGCTAGTTGATGCGATTTCTGCTGTTCGCTTGCACAGACCACAAAGCTGAGTGTCCATCAAAAAGTCCTTCACGAACTCCTGTTTATCTCAACGTTGGATTCAGTAATTCCCTGTCCTTTAGGTCGGATTCAAAATTACAAGGTTACGGAGTTGAACAGGGATAATTAAAAACTGAGAAGTCTGCAGTTCAGTGTTGGCTGTAAAAAGAAATAAAATGATGGAATGGTGTCTAAACTGGAATGAAATAACAGATAGTGCAGTTATAATAATTACTAAGAAGTAAGGGGCCGAGATAGCCTGGTTGGCAGGGCGCTGGACTCAAGTTCGTGAGAATGGGAATTCGAATACAGCCGTTCTGAGACTTTTGTGAAGTAAATGGTGACTAGTGCATGTTAATTTTGTCGGGTCACAAAGCCCTCTTTGTTCGCATTTCAAATTAAATCTCTGAATTCGAGTTACTGAATTCGAGATTGATCGTTCTCTGGTTCAGGTCAAAATTTCGATCTATGGATGATCGAATGGATGCATAAATGGGACCTCTTTCCGCAGTTTTATTTCAATGTTTAATAGTACTAGTACGTAGCTATTCAAAATTTAAAAAAAATCATTTTTATTTGTAAAATTTTCTGAACATAATTTTTTTTTTGATAACCTTCACTCCCTGGTCGATATATTCATTCATGGAAAACTTACAAAAGAATTTTCAGTTCATGGAGAGTAAAAATTATATTTCCTTCCTAATAAAAAAAAATAAATAATAATAAATAAAATAAAAATGTAAAGTATTTAAAAATACATCAGGTATGTAGTAATTTCATCTGCCCTTGGCGTGAATCGATTGTAACTACGAATTCAAAACAGACTTGTGGTCAAAATGACCACTTTCTTTTTCTCTAGAGTTTGCTCTTTTATGTCAAATACTTTAACTATGAATACGAATTTCATATGCCTAAAATGAATTAGGCAAAAAAATAAATAGTTAGCATGATTTGGTATAACTAAATTTAATAATTTATTGTAATGCTTACAAATGCAATCACAACAAATGGGCAAAAGACTTGGAGAAGTACAAAAAATTATCCAGAATCCTGGAATTAATTGATACCATTTCTCAATTCATAGTCATTTCAGAGTTAAATCTTCTCATTATCCTTGCGTTCATTAGTTGTGCAATCATCTTTAATTTATAGCTTTTCCTGTTTATTACATTTTTCTCTAGCGAATTCTTTATTTATCGTCCATTACTTAGTTCTAAACTTAGTTCTATTACTTAGTTCCTATTACTTAGTTCTAAAAAACAAGGCACACATTTTTAATCATATGCCTTCATGAAATTCTACAAATATGTTCGACAGAAAATACCTAGGAATAACAGATTACATTGTAATTTGTTCCTCACTTTTAATATCTGTAGGTATCGGAATAGCTTCGAGATTATTATCCAGTGAACAAAAAACCACAAAAGAATATATATTGGCTGGAAAGAAGATGAGTAGGCTTCCTGTCATATTGTCTATTCTTGTAACTTTCGTATCACCCACAACAATGCTTGCTGTACCTGCAGAGATTTACAAATATGGAATAGGCTTCATAACGCTTCCCTTTGGTCTTTCAATTGGAGTACTTCTAGCATCTTGGGTATTTATACCAGTGTATTTTCAATGTGGCGTTTCGACCATCTATGAGGTAAATACATAGCTTTTACCTTATTACTTATACATAAAGACTGACGAAAGAATATTATATGTATGTATATAGAATATCATAGATAAAGTATAAAACCAAATACTTTCATCTGCCACTAAATTTTAAATCATTTTAAGCTAGGTATTGATTTAAACAAGCATTATAACATTTTATTTTATAATATAACCGTCGTTGAACAGCAGACACAATTTTATGGATTTACGACTACTAATATTCAACTCCGTAACCATGTAATTTTGAACCTAATCCCAGAAGACAAAGGAACTCCTGGGAGAAATTTGCCTTCGTGGAGAACTTTTTGATGGAGCTTACCCGCATTTGCGTTACATGGAGAGGAGGACCACGAGAACCTCCCATGATTAGCCTGACCGCAAGGGGACTCTAACCCATGATCGGTCTACCACTGAGGATATTTTACGTCAGCACTGTGATCGGTGCAAGCCGGATGCGGAATTCGTATCGACTGGGATTCGAACCCGGTTTGCCTCATTAGAAAGCGAACGCTCTATCCCCTGAGCCATCGCGGCTCAAGCATTAGAACATTGTTTGAAAATTCGCTAAGTTATAGTTTTGAGTCATTTGATCTTTTTATCAGATTTTTTTCATTTCTCTGTTTTATTTAAACTTCCGGTCGGGATGGCCTGGTCGTCAGGGTGCTGGACTCACTCTCGTGAGAGCGAGAGTTCCAGCCGGCCAACGAGTTCCCGTATAGTAAATGGAGACATGTGCAGGTTAACATATAAATTACATTTTTAAAGCATTTCTTGTTCTAATCAAAACAAAACTAAATTGAAAATTTTGTAAAGTAAGTTTATATGTTTGCTTTTATTTTAAAAAGTAAAATATCAACACTGTTAGAGTTTTCCTTCAAAGAATATGGTGAAGTAACCGTCAGTTCCTCCAATTTAATCGCAAAGTTTACGGCGAAGCTTTTTTTAAACCTTTACGGTTTTGAAACCGTTTACAAATATGGTTATAAGACCATGAATACTAAACTGTTCGATTTTCTTTTTACCATTTAGAATTAGAATAACTTTAATGAATTAGAATGAATGAAGTCATAAAAAAGAAATTTAACTGGAAATTGGAGTTAGGCTCTTAGTTAGGTAATGGGCATTAGAGAGTGCAAGATACTGGAAATTCTTCATGTGAAGGGAATTGAGCAAATGTTATGTATGTCAACGCTGGGACTTGAACCCCGGTTTTGTCTGTCATGAGACTAACAGATTTATCCTCTCGGCTATACTACGTACCCAGCAGCTATATTAGGTGGGCTTAGTCGGTGTGATGAAATACTGTTTATCGAACTCTATTAGGTAAAAGAAGTTAATAAGCGGTTATTCTCACAGTTAACTGTTTGAAAACCATCTTATTTATGGTTATTTGACAGTTTTGTTTAAATTTGGTGAAATAACAGTTAAATAAATTTTTATTTAACCATTTTTTTCCCGAAAAATTGCTATCAGTGAATAATTGAATGTATACTACTAGCTTTGAGCTATCGATAAAATATTATTCAAAATACTCAAAAGCAAAAGAGTAAAACCTAGAAATAGACAAGAATAATACATAAGGCCTATAGGGTAATCAGAATTGCGGGTCCTGTATTTAACTAAAATTATTTTTTGTGATGACATTACTACCTATTTAAAAAATTTTAACTAAATACAACAAAATTTGGTAACTTAGTACCATGCATATAGTGAATGTTTGCCCCTCACGTGTCTTGTAAAGTTAAATGACACTAAAGTTTAAATTATTTATTGTTCTTGTTTCATGATAAACTTTTGAAATGGGAAACGAGGAATTAAAATGACATTTTTAAAATTATCGAATACTTCGTTTTACATTCAACAGAAATAAAACTGTGTTAAGAGAATACTTCATGTATCCTGATTATGAAAAAAAATAGTTTCTAACAATAGTAGTGAAAACTTCGTTTGGAGTCAACTATAATAAGTTCAAACGTTATTAGTTTTAACGAAAAAATATACTTAATGGGTTAAAGAAATCAAAGTACTTAGTTAAGNGCATTTTTTTAAAATTTTTTGTTATGTAATATTATTTGTACATTTTTTAAAACATCATAGCTTAAAACTTGCTACTAAAGTAATAAAACAACGATACAAATATAAAAAATATTTAAAATGGTACATTTTTGGTAAAAAATCGGCGAAAAAATGGAATGACGCAAAACACTCTAACACAAAATGAATTTAATATAATTAGTTTTCCTTTTACATGTATCATTTTATGGCATAAGAGAAGGCAATGACCCCAAAACTAAGAAAAATTTTAAAAATTTAAAAAGTTATAAGCTTTTGAATGTTACAACACAAAAATTCGTTAAATTTTTGGGGTAGCAATTTAAAAAAAAACTCTTAAATAACAATCATGCTGTATACACATTTATCAGTGGGTCATTGCCTTCACAAAACATTAATTAATAACTGTGAAAAATTTCAACTTGATCACTTTCTAAGTTTGTAAGATATAATGTTTTACGAATTCTAAATTTACTCAAAAATAGAATTTTCAATAAACGTGTTTAAAGTTTATATTTCAAGTTGTTTGTGGTAAGTGTTGCTAATATTATTCTAAAATAACTTCATTTCTAGTTAGCTGATCTTCACAAATAAAACAGTTTTAGAAGCAGAAGTGTGTGGAGAAAAAAACTAGTGAATAAAAAAAAATTAACATTTTTGTCAAAATTGACGTTCTAGACCTAGTCGGATAAAAGAAATATAATTAAATTAAACGTTTACTGCACTTGCATTAGGTCGAGAGCTGCTGCATTTTGTTTGCTATCTCTTCACTTACAAGTTTTTCATTGTTGCCATTTAAGTAAAGGTAACTTTACATTACATCAATACTCGTGTTTCAGTTATTGTTTCATGAATAAAAATTTTCGTCAGCTTCACGTCCAACTCTAACGCCGTTGACTACGCTCCCACCACCAAAATTTAGTACTGAAGATTTGAGGAAATAAAATTTGTTTTTCAATTTTTTATATTTAAATAATTAATACTAATAAAGAACAAACTCAGATGTCCAAAATGGCTTGATATAATTTTCAGTTCATAGTCTTTCCCAGGAAATTTCCTCATTAATCACTATGGCCTGTAGTTGTGCAGTATTTTTTTTTATTTATTTAGGCCTCCTACATTAGCTACATTTTCTAAGCTGGGTTTTTTGTCTATTTTCTTCTGCTAATTACTACTTTATTGTTTCGTGATTTCTCTTTCAACTTGAAAATTGCTTTTTGTCAGAAGCAAGTGATTGTTATTGATACCATGCTGCAATTTTGCATACTCATCACTTAAATAAATGGTAAAATATGAAAAAGGAAAGGTAGGTTAAACCACCCGTGTTTTTCGAACTTCTGATTAGCATTTAAGTCCATGGGAAACACTTTAAGATACATGTTTTTTGAAAACAATATATTTTTTTACCTTCGAAATTCATTTATTTTATAATTATTTTATTACATTTTCAGTTCCTAGAGATGCGTTTTGGAAAGATAATTAGGTTCATCATCTCAACTCTATTCCTTGTGCAAATGGTAATTTAAAAAAATCAACATTTATTTATAGTTTGCATAAGTACATTGTTCCTGTTTATTTAAATCATACTGAATTTTGTTTCCAGATGTTTTATATGGTTACTTGTCTGTATGGATCTGTATTAGCATTGAGCGCAGTCACTGATATATCTCTTGAAATTTCCATGATATCATTAGGGATTATTTGCACAATATATTGTTCCATAGTAAGTTTAAGTATATCTATTTTACGTATTAACAATTTTACTATTCAGGCATTTTTGAATTTATTTCGTGCAAATATATTTATAGAGTCTCTATGTAAATGAAGAAAAAATAATGAAAAGCTACAAAATTTAAATGTTAAGTACTAGATAAAAACCGCGTAAGCTTTCTTTACAAAACAAGAGAGATCTATGAAGGTTTTGTTATAGCAGGCAAAAAAAAAATATATATATATCATAAGCATAATTTTAAGATATTAAAATATTTTGTTTTTACTTTTATATCTTATTTTATTAATTTGTAAGAGAACAAATCTATGTAAATTTCAGCTTGTTAGCAGCATTTAAACAAGTGTGCTATTTGTGAAAAAAATAAAACAATTAAGATTTTTTATTGAGTAGGCTTC